AGCTCACGTGACTGTATTTCCACTACAGTCCATTAGGTTCCTCCGGATGTTCAAAACACCTTGCGATTCTTTCTTGGTTAACGCCCCCTTTGCACTCTTGTTCACTTTGAAGCTTGTGCACTGTGCATCCGGCACTGTAAACTGACCTTTCCATTTCATACAGAATTCACTTACTCCTGGACTGGTGATTTCAGCTCTGCTGTGTTCTTCGGGCTGCACTAAATCACCGCCTTTGTATGTCATTCAGGTCGTACTTCTACTGAATGCTTCGTGTCAGTTCTTGTTTTCCTGATATTCCTTCCCTGTGCTCTCTATGGCTGACCTTTCCGTCCTTTCCGGTTTAGCAGATCCGCTTTCTGCATACATATCAAACAGTGTTCTCGCCTTGCGCCCACAGATGACGTCAAGTTTTGGTGTGTAGGTAGAGAATAAGTTAATCGAAAAGTGTGCCTTTTCTCAGTCTGTATTATGAGTAGGGTCCCAAATTTTCAACATGCAGTTAAATCAGTGTTATCCGTAACACGCTGATCACAAGGTTGCTTACGACTGATGTCGCCACTTCTTGGGGTTTCGTCTGGAGTTTAAATCACATTTCGATCTGGTCAGCACATTGCGGCGCGAGCTAGTCTTGCAAATTCGAGAGGTGTGCTTGCAGTGACGTATGTCGGGTGATGCAAACGCTTAGGTTCTTTTGACCGGTCGAGTACATGTGTGGACAGTTTGAATGCTTCATGTCGAACGGCAGCCCGCCAATTCAAGAAAAACGGACTACGTTCAAGGAGTTTCGCGTCCCATTTTAAGCCATCGTCCTGACGAATTCACAGAAAGACATCCAGTCTGCATAGCTCTCTTGTTACCAAATTGCAAGCACTATGAATAAGAAGTCATTAAAAAAACCCTGATTGTAAAAGTATGGCTTTTTGATGTAAAAACATGATGCAGGTATCCTTTATCGATCCTGCCATAAGAGCTAGCTCGTAGATCCCCAGATTATGTTGGAAGTTGCATCCAGGGGGCTGAAATTGTGAACCCAATGGGGGCCTCATTCACTGAGCAGAGACAATGAGAGTTTTCAACTACTTGCAAGTAACGGTAGCGGTGTCCATCGCGGAAAGAGCAGTCTTATACAACACCTCTGGTGAAGAATAGTTTAGTACTTTTATAATTCACTTCAGAAAAATTTGTGTTGAATTAATACAGGATTTGCTTTTTGATTCATTCACTAATGAATCGGTGGTGTATGATTGTGGGTGTTCATCTAACTTCGACGAACACTTCCCCATCAAGCCACCAAGGACATGAGGGTTAAATTTGAAAACCGAGACGGAAAGTTGGTATTCTTGGGGAGATCCATCATGTGCGGCAACACTGTATTTTTTTCTAATGCATATTATTTAGTGTGAGAAGCAACATTCACACATTTGAAATGATGGAAGCACGAAACATTGAAACTCGCTCGGATGAACTGGAATGCGAGCATGAATTCCAAACAAGACATGAATAAATTTCTATTGAATGACCCTAGACACGGTATTACGCCGCTGAATTTCAAGCCACAAAAGCGGGAAGGACGAGTTGTAAAACATGAAGGCTGCCTGTCTGTTGGTCAGCTACCAGTGCTTAGAATGTTCTACTTGACTAAGGAGGAAATGTGGTTCGCGAAATAAAACATTTGCAATAGGAGTTGGTTTTACAGTGACACTCAACCTGAACTCACCTGAATCTCTTCTTTGTCATATTTTTCAATTGAATGCCTTCCAAGAAGAGGGCCTCATGTTTCAGATTTTAATGTTTAGCAAATAAGGATTCCGAATCAACCTTCGCCTGTACTCTGTACGATCACTTGGAAAGCTGGATACTGATGACTTTCACTTTTCTGATCATCGATTTTTGTCCAACTTCAAAACGCTTGCAACCCCAAGATGACATGACGGGGACAGTTTCCGACTGTTTTTGCAGTTTCCCAGTGCCTTGACAGCCCGTTTGATAGGACTGGTGCGAAATCGCTTGTATTCGTCATTATTCACGTCGGCACAATGCGGTCGTTTGATCTGCTAGTCAGTCCAGTGACGAATGGCAAAACGTGTCGTATGTGAAGCACCGAATCTGGATTAGTCACGCACTACACCAGTAATCAGTGGACCCCGCCACATGTTCTGATGATTATCGTCACCAGAGTGTTCCGGCCGCAGATGACATCTCGATACATATGTGTAGCCCATCCATCACGCCGTTCACATATGCGCTCATAAAACGAGTTGGGTCGGCGCGCTGACTACAGCGGAATGATTTATAGCACCCTTTGCTCATTGACTCGACAACACATGGACTGAAGCGATAGTGACGGCTCCCTTCAATCACCCGCAGAACTGAAAAGGAACACACATATTAGGTTCGCTGTGCGATGGACGAAGGCGCAGCAACTGCGTAATCGAACGCTTGAATATTTGACAATGTTGACCAGCACAACCAGTATATTACCTCCCCCCACCAAATTGAATTCCAGCCGAAACGACTTTGATGCCTTAGGAAGTACCGCCAGTAAGATAAGCACCAATTGCACTAGATGACATTTTAAAACAGGGATGAAATGAATGCTTACCTTCTGGCGGTGAACAGTGGAACAGAGCAAGTGATGTTCGCAACAAATTGATTGGATCTCCAAAACACATGAGAGTTCATGAAAGGGTTGAAATTCAGAGGCTAATAGGGTTTGAAATTGCCATTGCTAAGATTATTCCACGAAAGCCAGATTATACCACACAGTAGATTCATTTACAAGCATTTTTCATGTCACGTACAAGTGCCCTAATTTCACTGGCTTGCGTACTTACTGACCAACTGAGTTAGGAGAAGTTGCCATTGGGTGGCACTCATTCTCACACAAAAACTCCCGCTCTCACAAGGAAACAGTCTGTATTCCAGTAGGCGTTTGATATTTTCAGAATGCAGATGAGTGAGTCGAAAAAGGAAAATGCGTACGAGACAAACTAACATTTTAGTGTTGCTACAAAATATCTAGATTGTAATCTATGAAAAAATGCTCTTAGGAAGAGCATAAATTGGGTGTTAGGGATCTTGGGACAGTGTTAGTTTTTGCATATAGTGTATTTAGTAACTGAAAGCAAGCTTCCTCTTTGCAATTAATATACGTGTATATACCCTCATAAGATATGCCACTCAACTTATATAGATGCAGGATACAAGTGAACATAATCCATCGGCAGTGTGCATGTAAGATTGCAGATCATGTACCAGTGGCGGTGTGCTGAGATCCGGTAATATTTTTCAGTGTTACAGTCAAAAAATTAAATTTTGTGCCACCATTCCTCATTCGAGTAACTGGACAGAAAACTGACCAAAAACACCTTCCCCCAACCCATCGTGGTTGTAACTAGCGCATTTCGAACAGCATGAATGTAGCATACCTATGTATACATACGAATGCGAGACGAGGACATCTGATCAAAACGACCTTGTCTGCAAGCCATATATCATAAGCTCGCTGGTCTCGCCACCCTCTTCCCGTACATGACTTCACTTGTTCTGGCTACCGGTCCGCTGTCGCCATGGCGGTGTCGGCATTTTGGCTTTGTTCTTCGTCGTGTGACCCCAAGCAGCGTCGTTGGTAATTTTGATGAAATCGTCCATAGTGGCGCACTGAGGTGAATTCCAGTAAATCATTCTGTTTCTGCTTTCGCCCGGTCGTTGTTTTGAAGGTAGAGCAATCAAGCGGACATGCAGCCAAGCAAGAAGAATAGCAAATGGGGTCCTGTTCTGACGACTGGTGCTGCGGGCTAGAAAATTGACTGAAGGAGCACAGTGCACATGCGTGAGACGCCTACCCTGGTTTGTTGGCATGCAGATAGTCAAGATTAATAGGTCTTTTATCCAGGATTCTGTCTTTCAGTGCGGGCCGCGTACATACTGTGTTGTGGTGTATCCGCACTTGTGTTTTAAAAGCAACGGCGCCAAAAATAAGGTAACGATATCAATCGGTTGGTCGGTCGGTTGGTTCATTGGTTTTATTGCGCGCGCAGCTGTATATTGTAATGTGTGTGTCCATGTCTAAATTTTCACTTCCGATTCTTTTCTGGCGAAAGCAACACTGACAACGACGACCTGTTTCGAGTAGTGTTTCTTGCCGTTTCCGGTTCGAAAGCATTCCAGGACGAAGCTGGTTACGATAAGATCGCTGTGGTCTACATAATGGGCATCCCGATGAGAGGTTTCGTGCATTTTATATTTGTTTCTGTAGAATAGCAAATTATAAACCAGCTCAAGGGTAATCTTGATGAGTAGGGATAAGTTGATGAAACGAAATTCTGAATGTGACGCCAATGAGTGCATGAGTCTCTAACCACATCACCAGAAATTATCTGGGAGATTTTTTCCGTCGGAAATCGGTCATTTGATCGACTGGAAAAATGGGAACTTACAACCACGTCTTCTTCTTAATGAATCAGTTCACCAGCGTCGTCTATTCCTATTATCACCAGTTCCGCTAATACGATCCACCTTTTCTAGAGAGATTACCCCAAGGAACGGAAAAACGCCATTTTCTGCAAAGTTATCGCCTCAAATGGGGTGCTTATGGTCGGAATATATGACAAAGATTCACCATTTCAGGGTGCTTTTTGAGGGATATTTTCTTACAAGAGTCTTATCCCAGAGAGGTACAATTGCATTAACGGTGAATATATTTAGTACCGAAAAACCCAAGACTAGCGCAATATCTGGAAGATGGTAGTTGTGCAACCTATGAATCTGCGATACATGTGCGCATGACATGCCGGGAGAAAAGCGAGTGTTTTTATGCTCATATGCGGTTGCAGCGCATTATGGCAAATTTGCTGAACGTACCTAACGACAGAGAAGACTACTAGTGAGTAGCTTAATGGACCATGTTCAGTATAACATCCTACAAGATGCCAAAAATGTTGCGTTGATTCAGATAATCTTCTTGGTGGAACCCACAAAAAAAATCGAAGTTAGAATCAATGAAACTTGGAGTAGATGGGAAACGGCGTGTAATCGTTGTCATCATCGTACTCACAATTAAGGAGGAAATATTGGCAGATGTCTATAGGAATAATTCGAAGTGGCGTTTTGAAAGTGATAGGTAAGTGGATTCTCCTCAACAGGCTTCACCATTAGGTGTCTGATGCAGTTGCCACTGCTTCACTTGTGCAATACATGCTCAAGGAAGTCATTTTGCTCACTAGGGACCTAGCCAACTGACTTCCTGAAAATTACTGTTCACCGTTAGGCGTGATTTACCAATCATATGCACGTCTACGTGCGAGCTAATGTAACAACGGCCTTGTCGATGACTTCGTGTACAACGACGCGAATAGGCGTTTCACTAGCCTGAACAAACCCGCCACGGACACCGAGGAGAGTAAACGTATCTGCAATGTACCTCTGGCCTACCTCTGTCTAAAGCCTTTTATATCCACTGTGAAGCGAGTCATATTGGGAAGTGTTGTTTTCTAGTCATTGGACGGCCCACAAAATTTCACAATGATAGCATTAGGGAGCATAGTAAACGGGCAACTCTAGGGAGATTGTAGTCTTCTGTAGTAGCGGAATTAGAAAATTTAAGAATAACTTTTTTTAAAAAACTGAAGCTTTGTACGGTTAAAGTTTGAAAAGTTGGAATCAGAGGGAATCACACTGTAGTCACCAATAATCAATCTAGTTTGACTTACCTATTTTAAATCCATCTAAAAATGATGGATTCCTTTGAAGAATTATCGATTCACTAGCTATCTGGAGGACCACAGTTTTAAAACAGTCTGTCAATGAGCTTTTGTCAGAATGAATCGGTAGCTTTAATCGCCCAATCGCGTAAGCGACGCTTAGTATTGTGCTTACTTGTTTCAATCACGATTGGAACATTCACAGCCATGTCAAATAGCTTGCACTAAGTTGGTCTTTCAAATGCACATTATGCCTACTTAATATTGGAATTTTCATCCAAAAGAAAGCGACCGATCCAGACTGAAAAATGTCATGTTCACTTGGAGTATTCTTCATCAGATTGTTGATCCTAATGTTTGCACTTGACATCCCTAGTCTGAGGTGAGTCGGTGTTGGGAACTCTCAGGTTTGACTCACTTGCCCGCCTAGCTGGCTTACGATTTCCGACTGATTGCAAATTACCATACTGCTAAACAAGTGTCCCGAACCAATTTTTCTGTCTAAACTGCTAAGCATAAGGTAAAGCGATGGATTGTTTCGAACTTACTACCCTGCTTTAGAGTGCGACATGAATCTGTTAATGAATTGGATCTATGTATTACTCAAACTATTAAGTAGATGTCAGTACGCGTCCTATAATAATTTCTGTCGGAAAACAATGATCAGATGCTGTTTGATAGGGCCACAGACTTTATTGATGAGTGGAAATCGATGGAGCACAGGTTGATCTGATTGATAACTAGCGTAGTTCTCTCCATTGAGCCATTTCGACTCACATGTTACAATTTTTAGGATTCAGAATGGTTGACTTTGCAGCTGTTGTAAAATCTATTAAGGTCAGACTCGTCCCGTTCATCACAAGGAGTATTAGCCTCCAAGACTACATTTTGTGCAGCAATGAGAAGTTCAATTAGGTGCCACTGATAGATGATTGGGGCGTAATGGGGCGAGATGGCCTAAGTGGTTGGAGCGCCAGTTTACTGACCGCCTCTCGACTTCCTTTGTCTAGGCTTCGGCAACCTGGCAGTATTCCAGCACTCGTGCTTCCTTCGTGTGGCACGGCAGCTAGGCACCGGAAGGGTGCTACAGCTGAACGCTTTTTTTAATGGAACTCCTGAAATGAGTCATCCTAAGTTTTTGGAGTAGGCGACGAAACATGATAGAATAATCAGTATCGGAGAAGGGGAAGGTAAGAATGCGGGGGTCCGTGAAGCATTGACAATGATTTCCATCCTGGGTTGGTGAGCTGCGGCTAAGTTCACCGGTTGTACTCAGCTAGTACTATGCCACGCTACAAAGTGTTTTGTCCCATTGGATAAGTGTTAATCGCTCAGTAGGGACCAATGACAGTAAAACCGAAACGTTAGTGAGGCGTGGTACCAATAAGATGAAACATGCCGTTCAGAAAGTCTGCTCATGTGAAAATTAGTTAGTGAATAAATACCGAGGTGACACTTACAAGGTTCACTAGTACAGTGAATCGTGTACTTTACTTTGTAGGGAGGGTGCCTAGAAGCATGAGGACTACTACCAACATAAATATACTTTAATATCACGGAATACTAGTCAAGGCTATTTCGCAAGGTACAGAACACCTTTCGAAACAAGACAATGTTCCTTTCAGGATGGCTGCCCCATATTGCATAGATTTCCTTAGCTAGCGAAATCGAATCGATCACGAAGGATGAGTTTATTTACTCAGCCATCATAACAGAATTCGTAAAATGCTAATTACTCTATAGTTAGTCTTAAAACATCATTTTCGAGCAAATCCATAGAGAAATATCAGTTTGAATCAATATGCGTTTACAGAAGAAAGATGCTCAGCTCACAAGCCCCAATCTGCCATCCAAGACGGCTTCAGAATAAGTGACACTGCATAATGCCTATCAGAAATAAAAGATCCATGCCGCACACCCGACGATACACTTCAATAATTCTTGACCGTTCACTACGAATCTCCATGATGAAGCGCTGGTCCATGGTTCCTCCATGGTTATGCATTCATGTACTTGCGAATGTTCCATAAGCTATGTGGGTTGAACGACACGCCACTCGTAGAAATAATGAACATTTAACGATTTGCCGGAAATGTGAAACTGCCAAACACGTAACAAACACCACCAGATTTATGTGGCCAGGCATCCAGCCTGATTTACCGAGCACTGGAAAATCGGTTGAAAAGCTATTCACTAACAGATGTCCGAAACAGCTTGGGCGGTCACCATTCTAACGGATGACCTCTCTGCCATCAATAGGGGCATTCGGAAGCTCTGGTGTGGCCTTGACCTACCAATAAAACTTCACAACCGCTAAATGAATAGTGTCGTTGTTCAGACCATTGGTGCAGCAGTACTACGTAGTACTTCAGTATAGTTTTTTAAGAATTTTATTGTTGTATTTGCCCAATGAGATGCAACTGGATACCATGGTTCGGAAGTCTGTGCGGTTCCCCACAAAAAGGGAAACATTTACCATACTCAACAACTGATGTGTAGCTAGACAGTGTGACGGGGAACAGAGAGAGGTCTGGCCTTCAACAGATAAATTATGTCGGAAGTTTACCAGGTCGTAGTCTTATAACACTGGCTGTTGATGCCTTTCACCTTACGCTTAAAGCACATTAAATAGTTGCATGCTCATTCTTTGCTACTCTGTTTCCAGTAAGATTGTCACTCAGTTTATGCGTAAACGATAAATGACAGTTCTAGTCAGTCCAGCCAAACAACAGCACCGGATTACCTTTACGAGACCTATGGACAGAGTGAACGAATATTTTACACTCGAACAGCAAAACAATGGCTGTGAAGGCAGCCTTGCAAAACACGACAAGTGTGTGATCGACAGATATCTATGAAGGTCATTTCGTGGTAAATAATGCGAGTAACATTTTCGCGGACAGGCAACGCATGGCAAGCTGTGACTGTTGGACATGATCATAAATGAAACGTCTGGAAAACGTCACTCAGGGTGAGATGATGACGTGCGTTTCATCTCAGTAGACTGACGTGTTTGACTCTTCAGATAATTGCAGGCGTTTGAAAAGTACAACCGATAGTAGGTGGGATTCGTTTTGAAGAGATCTTTTGATAAGAGATTCATGCTTGGGTTCAGTACAAATGGATCTGAATGACGATGGTTGGATCTTCAACGAAATCCAACCGATAAATTCTTGCTGATATTTTCCAGACCTAGTAATTCAGGTGCAGATGCGCCAAAACCAGTTCTAATGCTGTAGATCAATAAATTACCCCAAAGATTATCATTACCTCATTCCAGTTAAATATCTATACGATACTCTCCAACCGAATGTACTATACAAATGCTGCCTTATATTACAGCTTCGTATATTTTTTGAATGAACATTGACACAAAGTTGCTGAGGACTGTCCTAACCACTTTTGTCCTTCGTTGTGTTCTTCACGTAGGCGTAGTCTCCAAGTTTCGCTCAAACTTATATTTTAGTTGAACTCAATTTATACGAAAGTTGCACACCAATTTGGTTTTAACGGAAAACTGTACTACATTCCAGCTGAATGTTTCGCTTATTATACTGTTCAACTGAACGTGCTGCAAAATTGTCACCAAATTACTGTAAAAGTCTAATTTTGGATCAAGTAAGACATAAAGCTGACAGAAAGTCGATGAACGCGTTCACCTGATGAGCCCTTAGAAGATCGAATCCGGTAGTGAGTTGTCGAAGAGTCTTTAGAACATCGTGAGCAGTGCTTCTTCAAGAAAATATCTGCGATATCTCAAATACCATGCCAGAAGAGACACGAGGCAGTGTTTTTACAGCAAACGCAGTTGAAGAATATCATAAACCAGAGATTCAGATGGGTTCAGTGGGTCTCCCGTTGGACACCAAATGTGTGTATTTGGCTATTTGCGTTCAATCTGGGTTTAAGTAGGATCTGAGATTGACTGAAACTCACACCTATCTGAAGACTTCGAAGAAGAATGAACCAAGCTGCTGGCTGTTAAATAGTTTTTTAGCAACATTATGGGTAGTATTCCATCAAGGGAATCAGTATCAACTTAATCACTTTGTTGCCAAACTGGCTGGTCGGTAATGGCAACAATTTCAGAATGAATTGGAAATTCTCGAATGTCGGAAATCAATAAACCTGCGTTATAGTAAACTAAATGGTTTGCATGAAAAGGGGCTCTGCCCAGGCAATATACGGGCCTGGATGGAAAGGTGCCAACAGCAGTAATGCATCCTCCACAGTAATCATTCAATGGGAAGTAACTTCCTTGGAAAAACTACCTGTTCCCTGTGTGAATAAAGGACGCTTTGGACAGATACAGTTGTACCCAAACACCTTAGTTCATTATCTGTAAGACTGCGATTACGGCTAGCCTGATGTACCCCCACTAGGTTTTTTTGTCTTGCAGGGGATTTTCGTTCCATTCATA